GGACCCCGCCCGGTGCCCCTGGTCTGCTGGAGACGGTCTCCAGCAGACCAGGGGCACCGGAGCAGCTTACCAACGGGGCTTTCTCGCCCCGACTTCCGGGGCGAGAAAGCCCCGTTCGTAAGTGCGGATCCGACATAAGTCGGATCCGCGTAAGTCGGGGACTGCCTGTAATTGCAACTCTCTTGAGACAACATTTAATACATGGAATGAGCGAGTCATAGGATACTCTAAAGACTGATTAGAAACACCTTTTTAAAATGTCAGAAGATAGATTGATTTGATTCACTTCTTTAGGAAAGCGCAATGAAGATCTCTTCCATTAAAACACTTATTGCTCTTATGTAGATTAGGGATGTAATAGTGTAGTCAATTAACCGATAAGCAAAAGCTTATAGGTTAATGCTATAGACTACATGCATTTCTTCTTGTTCTCTGCTTCTGCACATTTGATAAGACATTAACCATTGCAAACAGTAAAAGTGATCAATAACAGTCTAATTTATTCAGGAAAGTTATCCTTAGTTGGTCTATACATTGTATAATCATTTTGGGGCCTCTATTATCTTGTCAGTGAGGGATGTTGAACCACTGACTTCAGAGAACTGTCTCTTTTGACATCAGCTTAGCAAGCTAGAGTGGCCTCATAGAAGTCTTGGTCTTTACATAACGTAGATCAGCATACTAAAGCTGTTGACCAATCATTTCAGAGTGGTCAGTATCTTGACATTAGTCCAGCAAGTTAGAGATGCTGAGCCAGGGCCCTTGGTTATCTTGCCCTATAGTGGATTAATTGTAATCAAAATGATTTAAATCGGTAAGTAGGAAACTTTATTCATGCTGTCTCTGGACTGAAGAATCAGCAATATAAATGTGTGTCTGAGCAACCGGGTCTTCCCCCCTCTCATCAAGAAGAATTGTAACCCTCTTCACTAAGAATAACATGTTTGTGGGATAGGTGGCAGTGTGGTCACGCTTTATATGTTAAGGCTCCATTTGTAAATAGTTTATACAGATTTGATAAATGGTGGATAGTGGATTTTTTTTAAACTGTTGTACAGGCAGTCCCCGGGTTACGTACAAGATAGGGACTGTAGGTTTGTTCTTAAGTTGAATTTGTATGTAAGTCGGAACTGGTACATATTGTAGGGGAAACTCTAGCCAAAGATTTCTCCAGAGCTCAGTTTTATTCTCCCACACCTCACTTCCCTCAGTCCTTTATTCTCAAGCTGAGGTGTCTGCTGAGAAAAGCCGCTCCCTGGTCTGCTGGGGGGGCGCTAGCTTCGCGTCTCCCTGGTCTGCTGGGGGGAAGCAGCTAGTGCGGGGTTGCCTCACCCCGTTTGTAAGTAGGGATCCGATGTAAGTTGGATCCATGTAACCCGGGGACTGCCTGTAGTCCGTTATAGAGAACAGCTGGTCAATAGGTTGTTCAACCCTTTCATACTACTTATATTTGTTACAAACTTGTCATATCTCTTCTTCGAGGAGTGTCTCTGTGAATGCTCCACTTATGGTATCTATGCTCCCTACACTTGCAATCAGAAATTTGTGGTAGCAGTGCCCATTTGGGTCAAGCACACTCCATCACTGTCCTGCACTGTCCCTTGGTTCCTTTTCTACTCCTATAGAATTACTGCTCCATTCTTGTTTGAGATAGACTATCTCCAGCATGCCCAGATCACCAGGCTTCAAACACTGCCTGACTTGTAGTCCCTGTCTCTGAAGGACACGCACAGCATGTCCACTGTCCCAGCAAGACACACATTCCTCAAAAATGTCCACATTCCTGTAAATTGAACAAGAAAAGCTAGGGATCTCTAATACCAAACTCTCTGTTATGGAGAAATTCATCAGAATGGCCTTGAACCCAAAGTCCAGGACACCTCCAGACCAACATTCACCAGTGGCAGCCTTTGACCCACAAAGGTTACCAAAAAGTGGTTCTAGATGTCACTATACCAGGAATCTGACAAGAAGAAGTGATCCCTGACTATAGTTTGTCTCGGAACTGAGCACATCAGATTGCAAGACACCAGAACCTTCCAGTACTGGGAATTCCCAGAGAGCGAAAGATTTAAAGTAATAGCAAAAAAAAAATTTTAAAGTATATCAGAAGCAGAACCCTCCTAAATAACCAGTGTGAACACTGGACAGTCAAGTTGCTAAAGGAGCACTCAAGGCCTTTGTGGAGAAACTAAATGAATTCTTGTATCGGTCTTCACATCTGGGGATGTAAGGGAGATTCCCAAATCTGAGCCATTCTTTTTCAGTGACAGATCTGAGGAACTGTCCCAGACTGAGGTGTCTGAGTTTTGTGTTTTGGAACAAATTGAGAAATTAAATGTAATATGTCAACTGGACTATTCACCCAAGAGTTCTGAAGGAACTGAAATGTGAAGTTGCAGAGCTATTGATGATGGGCGATCACTCGTTGCCGAGTATGATCATCTTCCATGGGAGTTGTGGACCTGCAGGTGGCTGATCAGGCCAATCCTTGAACCACAAGGTCTATTACAGTGAGGACAGATGTTTCCAGATATAGCAGGAGGCTACTGACCATGACTAGAAGCCAATCTCTCCTTCCTCCTGCGCCACCTCCTCTTCAGCATGTCGGCGGGCAGATTCAAAATGCAGAGCCATTGCATACTATTAACTATAGCCTGTAACCTGTCCTTTAAATCAGCTTCTGCACCAAATGACTGGAAGATAGCTAATGTGACGCCAGATTTTCAAAACAGCTCCAGAGATGATCCTGGTAATCACAGGCTGGTAAGCCTGACTTCAGTACCAGGCTCACTGGTTGAAACTAAAGAACAGAATTGTCAGAAACATAGATAAAAATAATTTGTTGGAAGAGTCAGCATAGGTTTGTAAAAGGAATTAATGTCTCGCCAATCTACTCAGATTCTTTGAGGGGGGTCAACAAGCGTCTGTACAAGGCGCATCCAATGAATGTAGTGTACTTAGATTTCCAGAAAGCCTTTGACAAGGTCCCTCACCAAAGGCTCTTAAGCAAAGTGAACTGTCATGGGATAAGAGGGATAAGACGAAAGATCCTCTCGTGGATTGATAACTGGTGTCTTTCAAGGGTCTGTTCTGGGACCAGCAATACAGCCCTGGAACTGATGCATCAGCCACATCAACATACAGTGTTCTGAGATGTCAGAACAAATAGCGGGTTCGCTAAGCAGAGAGTTCTTACCGAGTCGTGAATGGAAGATGGATCCCAGAATTTGACATGCTATATTCAAACTACAGGGATTCTTTGCAACATCCCAGAACACCAAGTGCCCTCAGTATTGCTCTGGAGCAGGACTAAGACACCATTTCCTAGGCAATACTCTCCTCATCAGATGGGATGCACAGTTAATGTACCCCACCCCCTTCCTCTTAATCTTGGGTCATACACAAGATCAAAAGGGACAAATCCAGAGTCATTTGAATAGCACCTACATCACCTTGACAAGCCTGGTTCCCATATCTGGTAAAGATGGCGATGCACCAGCGTCAAATCCTAAGGTCCCTGTAAGCTGCACGTCTGAACAATAACACAATTCCCTATTTTGCACTCCACAGTCACTCAACAAAGCTTTGCAGACCAGGAACTTGTGGCCTTTGGGGGAGGACTACCCCTTCCCTGGACCCAAACTAGCCCACTCTCCAACTGGCTGAGGCCATTGGGCTCCAGTCCAGACCCTGCCATAAGCAGCCTGGCCTGGATCTGGCCTCATCCCTGCCCCCCATCTAGCCCCAGCAGCCTGGCGTTCACCCACCCAGTCCAGGTGCTAGTGCTAGGGAGAGAGATGGGGGTGATCCTCTCACCTCACAATAGCCCCAGAACACCCTCCTTCACCCCAAAATTTTCCTGAACCCAACCACACCCTGTAGCCTGTATTCCCAGCTGGAGCCCTCATGCCCCTGCACTCCAATCCTCTGCTTCAGCCCTGAGCCCTTCATCCCTGGTCACACCCCAGAATCCGCACCCCAGTGAGCCTTGTACTGCAATCTCTTGTCCCCGGCCTGAGCATGTTCCCATTCTGTGAACCTCTTGGCCCATCCCCACCACATTAACTTTATGTGCACTAATATGAACATGTGTTGCACATCACCTCCTTATTGGTGCACATAACAAAATTCTGTCTTCTCGGGTGGGAAAAATTAGAGGGAACACTGGTCAAATCCTTCCCCCAGTATCTCACCGCCTGTCACAAGATGCAGGACACATCCACCATCCCAACCTTGTAGTACTTCCACCTTAAGATCTAGTTTGTCCATATCTCAGGGTACGTCTATACTGCACAGATATTTCGGGATTCCGGAGGCATCCTGAAATAGCTACCACACATCTACAGAAGCCACCCATTATTTTGAAATATTTTTCGAAATAACAGGCACACTATTTCACCATTCTGGTAAACCTTGTCGTACAAGGAATAAGGGATGGCTGGAAATAGTGTGGTGTTTTGAAATTTGGCACAGTGTAGACACGCCACATTTCAAAATAGTTTTGAAATAAGGTACGCAATTTGTATACCACAAATTGCATATCTTATTTCAAGTTTAGGGTGCTGTGTAGACACACCCTGAGAGAAGCTGAGATGGCCTATTCAGAGGAAATAAAAGACATCCTAATGAACAGCTGAAGAACAAGCACAAGAAAGACATATACCCATAAGTTAAAATGGTTTGGAACTTGTTGCCAAGAGAGACGTGTTTTACCAACATCTTCCCCTTCATGAAGGGTATTGGTTTACATATTAGAACTGAAAAAAGTGGAGAGCTCCATAAATGCCATCACAGCAAATAAGGGTCACCGTATTTGCCTATCCAACAACTAATCATTTCCTCCAGGGCACTGAGAACACGTATCCTGAAGTAGACCCCACCTCCTGTGTTTGCTCATCTCATCATACATGGAGTTATGGGAAAATTGTGAGCCACTTAACCACTTGCTTACTGCTCTACCTGTCTATGAAAATGACTTTCCTCATCACCATCGCACCCACCAGATGGTTGGAGGAGCTAGGTGCCCTAATGGCACACCCTCATACACAACTGTCTTTAAAGATAAAGTTACCTTAAGACCACATCCCAAATTCCTAGCCAAGGTTGCCCCCTCTCCCCTTTCATCTGAATCAATCCTTTTACCTCCCTGTTTTTTCTTTCCACAGTTACATATAGACAAAGGAGAGGCATTAGTCCACGCTCTGGACATTAGAAAAACATTAGCTTTCTACACTGAAGGAACAGAACCATTGAGAAAGTCACCAGAATTACAGGTTGAGCCTCCCTAGTCCAGCCACCCTTGGGACCTGACCAGTCCTAAAACAGGGAATTTGCTGAAGAGGGCACCGCTCCTGGCTGCTGGCTCCTGGGATTCTGCTATTCCCAGTGCTGGAGAGCAGCTACTCTTGCCTGTTGCTCTTCCATTGTCCGGCAATGCTCCTGGCCCCAGCCAGCTGGTTTTTCCCTGAGAGTGCTCCAGCCCCAGAGTAACCAGCGGGTCATTGACAGTGCCGGAACAGGTGTCTTGCTGGACCAGAGAAGTCCAGATTTCAGAGGTTCAACCTGTGTTTGTCTCTATAACAGAACATTCAATGAGAGAAACCATCTCCTAGACATACACAAATCCATGGGTTTGGATTTAATGCAGCCGAGGGTACTGAGGAAATTGGCAAATGTCATAGCAGAGCCTTTGGCCATTATCTTTGAAAAGTCGTGTATATTGGGAGAGGTCCCAGATGATTGGGAAAAGGCAAATGTAGTGCCCATCTTTAAAAAAGGGACGAGGACAATCCAGGAAACTACAGACCAGTCAGCCTTACCTCAGTCCCTGAATCCATTTTGAAGCACTTGGAAGAGGGGAAAGTGATCAGGAATAGTCAACATGGATTCACCAAGGACCAGTCAGGCCTGACCAACCTGATTAGCTTCTATGATGAGGTAACCAGCTCTGTGGACATGGGGAAGCCAGTGGATGTTCTTTCTAACAAGTTAAGGGAGTATGGATTGTAAGGTGGATAGAAAGCTGGCTAGATAGTCGGGCCCAACAGGTAGTGATCAACAGCTTGATGTCTGGTTGCCAGTTGGTTTCAAGTGGAGTGCCCCAAGGATCAATTCTAGGACTGTTTTTGTTCAACATCTTTATCAATGACCTGGATGAGGGGATGGATTGCACCCTCACAAGTTTGTGGATGACACTAAGTTGGGGGAACGGTAGATATGTTGGAGGGCAGGAATAGTGACCTAGAGAAATTGGAGGATTGGGCCAAAAGAAATCTGGTGAGGTTCAACAAGGAGAAGTGCAGAGTCCTGCCCTTGGGACGGAAGAATCCCAATAATTGAGACCAAGCTGGGGACCAACTGGCTTAAGTAGCATTCTGCAGAAAAGGACCTGGGGGTTACAGTGGATCAGAAACTGGATAGGAGTCAACAGGGTGCCCTTGTAGCCAAGAAGGCTAATGGCATATTAGGGTGAATTAGAAGGAGCATTGCCAGCAGATCCAGAGAAGTGATTATTCCCCTTTATTCAGCTCTGGTGAGGCCTCATCTGGAGTATTGTGTCCAGTTCTGGGCCCCTCAGTATAGAAAGGATGTGGGCACATTAGAGAGGGTCCAGTGGAGGGCAATTAAAATGATGAGGGGGATGGTGCACATGACCCATGAGGAGAGACTGAGGGATTTGGCTTTAGTTAATCTGCAGAAGAGAAGAGTGAGGGGGGATTTGATAGCAGCCTGCAACTTCCTGAAGGTGGGGGTTCCAAAGAGGATGGAGAGAGGCTGTTCTCAGTGGTGGCAGATGGCAGAACAAGGAGCAATGGTTGTACAGTGAGGGGTGTGTCTAGGTTGGATATTAGGAAAAACTATTTCCCTAGGAGGGTGGGGAAGTGCTGGGACAGGTTCCCTGGGGAGGGGGTGGAATCTCCATCCCTAGAGGTTTAAGTCCCGGCTTGACAAAGCCCTGGCTGGGATAATTGAGGGATTAGTCCTGCTTTGGGTAGGGGGCTGGACTCAGTGACTTCTGAGGGCTCTTCTAGCCCTGGGGTTCTATGATTCTAAAATAGGCAAGTGGTTATCAGGATGCATCCACCTTTGTTATCAAAAGCTTCACACATTGTACCAGAGCTCTTTCAGCATCCATAGCTTTTCTTATCAACGTCTCCATTATCAACATTAGCAGAGCAGCAACTTGCACATCAGTCCACACATTGACAAAATGCTGCGCAGGGGAGCAAGAATCCACTTTAGGCACTTGCTTTGGTCTCAGTATTATCCACCAACAATAACAGAACTCCAAAGCTCCTCCCTTCCATGAGGGGCAGCGCCCAACAATCACCAAAAGTGGAGCACCCACTGGGACGTTCCAGAGAGAAGATGAAAAGGTTTCTTATCTGCTGCAGTAACTGAGGTTCTTTGAGTTGGTTGTCCCTGTGGATGCTTCACTAGCCTTCCTTCTCCCCTTCACTTTGGGGTTTCACAGATTCTCAGTGGTAGAGAAGGAACTGAGGGCTGGCTGGTTATGCAGCGCTATGTAACCACCGGAGCAGCACAAGATGATGTATGCATGACCCAACCAGGTTCTGCTGCCACAAATCTCTTAGTACGGAGTGCATAGACGCCTACAGTGGAGCATCCACAGGCCTAACCATCAGTTATCACACCAGGCAAGTACTCTTTTTATCATGTACTAACTCTGTAAGTGGAATCTTTATATGAAGTGTGACTGGCTGTGTATTAGCTTGTATCTTAAGAATCTAATTTAGATTGCTGACATTAAGAATTTGAAATCTGTGACATTTTCTCTTGTTTTCTACTATGATAGACTCTCCTGGGAAAGTGTATCATTCACGTATAAGATCAATACCAGAGAACTCCAGTGACTCGGGAAAGGAGGAGAGAGGAGATCTGATAAAATTTTACAACACAGTCTATGTAGGAAGAGTAAAATCATTTGCACTCAAATATGATGTCACAAACCAGGATCACATAGTATGTAAAATGCTTCTAATTTTTGATAGTTCGCATACATGCTGAGTGGCTGTTCTATTTCCTTTTAGGCATCAAATGTCTGTAGATCGGTAGTGGCAACCTGTGACTCGTGGCCACATGCAGCCCATCAGGGTTCTAACCCACCCTCTGACACGCAACATAAAATGGATCCGCCTCATCGTCTGATTGTGTGTTTCTACTAGGAATGTTAAAATGTGGGTAATTGGCTAACCATGGAACCACTGAAAAATTCATCAGTTATACACACCTGCAGCACAGGCTGGTAGTCAGCTCCCCGGGAGCTGGTGAGCGCCGGGGGCCAGCTTTTAAGCCAGCTCCCGATGTGCACTGTCTGCTGCTCCACGCTGTTGTCTTTGTATCAGAGGCAGCAGCACAGGGCAGCAGCCAGTTCCCCAGGAGCAGGATGACAGGTAAAAGCCAACTCCCGGCACACACCGGCCCTCACCTCGTGCTTCTGCCTCTGTGTCAGAGCCAGCAGTGCAGAGTGGAAGCTGACTTCCCAGGAGCAGGGCGGGAGCCTGCATGTAACCATGTAAATGGTTATCCTGTTCTATCCCTAGTGTCTACATGTTTGCATAAATAAAACAGTCACATCGTTGTGAGCTATAACATACTGCATCAGCAAAATTGCATGTCTGCCCTTCTAACAGGCTATCCGTGGAAATGGAGCCGAAACGGACAAGGGGGAAACTGAGGGGCAGTTAAATGTCCCTTAGGTTATCTATGTGAAACGGCTGAAAAATAATATTATTTCTTTTGTGATTTGTAGACTGAATACTGAATTGGAATATTAGAATGTAGCTATAACCTGGGACAGAAGGCCCAAAAGGATACATTGCTAAGCACGGGCATGGGTGTGCTTTGTGTTTATTTTTGAAGTTTATTCTTTGAAATGTGCTGCTGGTAAATCCCTACATACAAATGCTGGGTGTGCCTTTTTTTTTAAGATGGAAGCCCCTCCACTTTCTCCGTTCCCCAACATTAAACAGCAACCCGTGTCTCCTCGGCGGATATCTCAGCAGCACTCCGTGTATGTTTCCCCACACAAGAATGGAGCCTGCCTGACACCTCAGACTTCTCTACTGTACAAGTTTAACGGGGGCCCTTCTAAGGTAAGAGCATCACATAAGACCTCTAACGACCGCAGAGCTTAAAGATTTCTCCCTCTTCCAGATTTCTGAATGGCTCTGGGAGTTTTCAGAAGAGTGCTGCAAAGGCTTTCTTCAAACTGGTCTTGCAGTCACAGACGCGGTGTAAATCACTTGGTGCTCCACAGTTGGAAGGTGCTTTGTCCAGTGGCTTGAATACTTATTGATTACTAAAACCATCTTCTCATTGACAGAGCTTGAAAGACATCAACAATATGATCAAACAAGGCGAACACAGGAGTAAGAAACGAGCAATTACGATTGACAGTGACAGTGAGTCTCCAGCAAAACGACTCTGCCAGGAAAATGATGATGTCTTACTAAAACGTCTTCAGGATGTTGTCAGTGAAAGAGCAAATCACTAATCTCTACAAGGAGCTGAAGCCCCCAACGTTTATCGCATTTGGAAGGCAGTATTGCCAGTTTTCCAGATGGGGTGCGTGCAAGCCGTTTACTAATTAATGTGTAAAATTGGACTGTCTCCTGACTGACTGTGGAGAGTTAGAGGCTATTGGTTTTATTGTAGTCAGACGCTCTATGAATCTATCTGCTGATCAGCATGTAGAAATGGTTCTTTGAGCCGTGTCAGCGGCGCCGTCCTTAGAATGAATGGGATCCCACATGACTTGTTCCCACCTCTAGCCCAGGCCCCCCTGCACTCACCCCGTCCCTTCACCATGGGAGAGTCCAGCAGAGAAGGGGTTAAATGCCTCACTTGGCTGTGAGGCTCTCTATAAGTCAGAGTGCTCCAGCCTGCAGCAAGCAGGGAGCTGGGTTCAGGCAGAGCCACTGCCAGGGGAGGAGGTAAAAGGGACAGCTTCTCTAGGGCCCTGCAATTGAAGAGGCCTCAACGCTCCCAGTCACTGGCACTGCTATCGCAGTAGCAGCCAGAGTCCCAGGCTTTTTAAATTCCCACTGGTGCCCTGGACATCACAAGCTGTGGTGGAGACTAGCTCCCACCCCTGCCCCTTCCATGTTCCAGTGCACCCCCCCACACACACACACACACTTTGCTGAGGGGCTTGGCCAGTCTGTCCGCAACCCTGTTTGGCCTGTGGCAGCAATCAGGTAACTTCCCCGCCCACCCCTGCACATGTAGCCAAGACTCACCCCCCGACACAGGACCTGTGGGCTTTATGCATAGGGATGACGGGGAGTCAGATCTTCACCTCTAACCTGCTAGTGTCGCAGTTCTGCTTGGAGCAAAAGGGTCAGCTTCTAATTGCAGTGGTTCTAGTTTTTTAAATTGAATTGACTGGCTGTGGGAAAGCAGGGGTAATCACTCTCCGTAGCCTTTGGGGATCTGTTTGCGAGGAAACACCTCAAGTGCCTTTTGATTTTTACATAAAGCATAGAGACTCTTATGTGTTACTTCAGTGTCGACAGATCGGGAGAAAGCTTGTTTGTTTTACTACATTAAGGATTAGGTAAACCCGTCTGTTCTTCACTCTGCATTCTATAGCACATGAAAAAAGTCACCTTTTATCAGAGACTTGAGAGTGTGATTTGAGCAGGGTTAATTTTTGGCTTTTATAGCTGAATATAACTAATAAAATGCTGTACTCCAGCTACTTTCAGATGTCAGCTAAAACGAATATTGTGACATGCATTCAGTATATTTCTTATCCTTTGGAAATTAAATTATCTAGTACAACTGCAGAGGCCTAAACTTCTAGAATGTTGGGAGGCTGTTTGCGAGCCACTTCTGAACTGTGCTACCAGAGCAGTGAATGCTGCCCCTGGAAACAGATCTGAAGCACTCCTTCCTTCTGCACGGCTCTGCAGTGCTACATAGTCATAGATACTGTATCTTAACTGAGAAGGGCTAGGTTGTATCAGTAGTGATTAAACAGGTTTGGGCTTTAGCCATCGGTTACTGCTGTAACCATGTGTGATCATTCATTTAATGAACTTACAGTTTCTATTCTTTAGGATTTTTGTATTTTTTCTGACAAGTGTACTCTCATATGTTGTGTAGTATCTACACAGAATGTAAGCCCAACCAAAGGAGGCGTGTTTGTACATAGGATTTTTGTAGCTGTTATATGTATAGCTTTAGCTGTGTTCCAATGGCATTATGTAAAATTCCAGCAAAACTCCTACAGCTAAAATGTTAATGAAAGACAATTTTGATAGGTTTGTTTTATCAAGATGAGGAAAACTTGTGTATTTTATGCTGTATATAAACAGTCTGATTTTAAACTTATGATTCTAAGCTTAGAGCCATAAGGTAATTCTGTATTGTACTTTTCTGTTCAAAGTTTCTGTAAGCATATTGTACTTACAAACTTCAACTGTCTTTTAATGTACAATTCTTTTCTTGAGCTCTGAGTATTTTACTCAAGTTGTAATTAGCTTGGTTACTGAGCATTCCAGGATTTTGATGCATCAGAATTTTCAATGGAAGAAAGAAGTTAAGTCACATGTTCTAGTCTCACCCAATTTATCTGGTAACAGAATGGGAAATCTGATGTATGAAATTGATTATAAAGGAGAAAGTTCAGTTTGTATATTCACATTGGTAATCAACAATGAAGGGAAAGTTCCCAAGTCCCCAAGGGTTTTGATAACAGACTAACTTTGTGCAGGTTTACACTGCTCTGAGAGAGGTGCTTTGCCTTTTGAAAGTTTTAAGAATGAAGACTGCGGTGTTATAAAAGGCATAACAAAAGATAAAAGGAGCTAATGCAGATTACAGTTAAGATTAGTATATCTTTTGTATGTAATATGTTAAGGGTTGACCAACTTCCAATCTTGGGTTACTGACCAGATATATTTGTGCAGAGGTAATCATAGGCCTGAGCCCAGCCCAGGAAAAACGACCCTGGTGTGAAAAGAGATCTTGATTTAGATTTTATATAACCAGAGCCAATTGTGCTTAAATCTTTGCATGAGGAATTATATTCATCCAGAAAATTAGGCTAGGATGGACTGCCAAATAGTACAGGTCACTCAGCAGTATGGGATGATGCATTAATTCAGTCCCTTGGTTTTAATTTTTCATCATGTGAACCCAGCATTTTAGGAATATGCTATCTTTCAGTTTCTGTAATCTTAAATTAAAGTAGTACTGCTGACACTTTGTTAATTATGATTAGATTTCATTTTTATATTAAAATTTTAAGTATTACATTGGATTTAATACATTTGACCCAGAATAGATGCAAATTTTGATAGAGCAGAGACAATTTTGGACTTGAACGGTTTGACAGGCGGTTAGATTTTTTTAGAGTTTTTTTGTTGTGGTTTAAAAGTGCCTTCATTTGTAAAAAGTAAACCGTTCTTTAAAGCTGTTTCATGGCTGACATTGTCTCTAGTCATTTGACTGGAAAGCAGGCATGCATTTGAGTCCAATTCTATCTCTGTGCCAAATAGATAAATGGTATCTCCCCAGACTTTCTTTCCATAGTTTTCCAGATTCCTTATACTTCACTCAATAAATGTACCATCTCAAAAAACAACTATAATGCTCCTGAGTGACAGACAGAAAGAGACTAAGTTTAAGACAATAGTAAAAAGGTAAAATGTTAGAATATTTTTAAAATTCTTGTAGTTTACATTGGCCTTGCATATACTAGGAAAATTAATTTTTGAATCGTGCTTTCTGTAACTGGTGTGTTGTGTAAATTGACTTTATCTACATCCACAACTAACACCCGGGGTCTTATGACTGACATCTGCCAACCTCAGATCAATTTCCTTGTGTGGACAGGGTCAGTGTTATCCCCGAAGGGAAATTATTTTACTCAATCTAACAAATGACTGATTCTCTGCTGCTAGGTGTTCAAATGCTTTTAGAAAGATAAGGCTGCAGGGGGTCCCCTAACAAAACTAGACCCTCTCTCTGGTTCTGTGACAGCCAGCATCAGTCATCCAAAGAAAATTTATTTGACTCTGTCTCCCATCCTTTCAGCGAAAACACACGGTCCATCGTGGGTCGAGATCTCCTAAGGGCCTTATCTCTACTCTCTGGAAGACTAGAATGTACATGGACTAGTCCCTGTCACTTGCTGACAAGCAGCCACTACTGACAGGCAGCCATGGACACTTGCTTCCAGGATGACTTACGTTGTCCCCAAACTACTCTCCTCTCGAGACTTTGCAATTATCAACATTTTCCTCAGCCAAAACCAAAACAGAATATAAGGTTAATGGGTTCTCCGTACTTGCTCTAACTACACAGATTTCTTCCTCCTTGAGGCTCCCTGGACCTTGTGGTATCTATGCTTTGCTTGTGGTCAAGGCCCAGTCCCATGAAAATCCCTCCCACAGCCATGGGCCTTGCTGACTACTGCACCAAAGAAAATAAAATGGACAGGATTTTCCTGAGGGCACCACCAATCACAGAGATCCTGCCGCAGTTGTCTATTCTTAGGTGTTCAAATGCTTTTAGAAAGATAAGCCTGCAAGGAGGTCCCCTAACAAAACGAGACCCTCTGTTCGGTTCTCTGACAGCCAGCATCTGTGATCTGGTGGTGGGCCTCCCTCGTCCCTTAGTTAATCAGATGGGACAATTCATTGTAGGTAAATTGAACATATAGAAAATGTATTTAGGGAAAATTTACAAAAATAGGGAATTCAACAGGTAACCAGAAGTAGTTCACAAACAAAAGAACAACTTACTCTGTACAGTAGTCAGTCCCCAGAACCCACTGAACAGAGGAGCCTCTGGCTGAGTATAAATGATAAGGGAAGTATGACAACTTTATAGAGACCTTGAAAGTTCCTAAGACGGACCTCAGACCTCGTGGCTCCTGGAGGGGCACTGAGGAGAACCCTCGTAGTCTTCCCTGCTTCAGGTGGAAGGTAGCTGGCAAGGTTGCTGGCTATCTGGTGGTATATGTGGAGTCTTCAGTTTGGCTGTGGCTGTCTGGTCTGGCCGGAGTCTAGATGACCTGAAAGGAAAACCCAGCACAACCTGCCACTAGGATGGGCAGCCCTGAGCTGTTCAGCTGCCAGCCTTTTATGCAAACTATGGCAGGAAACCCCTGTGAGGGAGACCCTGTGGAATCGGCCCCTACAAGCAGAGGCGGCCCGTGAGGTTAGGCAAACTAGGTGCCCAATGATGACGTAACAGGGTGCCCCATGATTACATCACGGCCATTGACGGCCGTGCAGGTGGGGGCGCAGATCGCGCCTTCTGCCTGGGGCGCCAGCTGCCGCAGCTGGCCTAGGGCCGCTCCTGCCTACAAGGAAACCCTATAGGATATTTGGAGGTAATTCTGATTCTAACTGGAACTTGTTTACCTCAGCTTTAAAAAGGCGGGAAAACCTTTGCCTATCAGACCCAGTGTCATGGGACTGATTTTCCATTTTGTTTTTCAAAATGGATGCCCTATCATATATTTAAACATGAAAAGGCTAGGATTTTTACCCTTAACACTACAGGGCCTTCAGCCCTTCTCTGAGCTCTTTATTCCAGCTCCGTTCTTGGGCTTACTGAACTTGTCTCATTTTCAGAGTTTAGCCACTTTGCCAGTGGCCAATGAGGCACCCAGGCCTGCCCACTGCTCTGGGATCCCAACCAGAGACCCTACAATAGCTGCCATGTGCTATTTCTTGTAATAGCTGCTACTGCATTCACTGAGCGTTGCCTTTACATAAAACCAAAGGAATAGAGAATAAGAAGGAGAAATGTTATTGCCACAATATAAATCCATGGGACACCCACATCTTAAATACTGCATACAGATGTGGTCGCCTCATCTCAAAAAAGATATAATGGCATTGGAAAAGGTTCAGAAAAGGTTATCAAATTATTAGGGGTTTGGAACTGGTACTTGTCCCATATGAAGAAAGATTAAAAAGACTAACAGGATTCAAAAGAAAGCTAGATAGATTCATGGAGGGTAGGGCCATCTAATGGCTATTAGCCAGGATGGGTAGGAATGGTGTCCCTAGCCTCTGTGTGTCTGGAAATGGATGACAGGAGAGGGATCAGGTGATGATTACCTGGTGTGGTCCTTCCTTCTGGGGCATCTGGCATTGACCACTGTTGGCAGACAGGACACTGGGCTAGACAGACCGTTGGTCTGACCCAGTCTGGTCATTCTTACATTCTTTACCCACATAGCCCTTTCCTCTTCAATCTTACCACGAGCTGGAAGTTTGCAACTCCTCTTCTTCCTCCCTGAATGTCAGTGCCACCAGAACTCATCTGTGGTTCTCCTTTGAACTACAGCAAGGAGCACCTTCCTTATACCAGCCCTGCAGTTCCTTTTCATTGAGCCTGCTGTGCTCTGACAGCCTTTCTAGTTGATACATTCAAATTAATGCATATTGGAAAACACAGTCCCAACTACACGTATAAAACGATGGGGATTACATAAGCTGTTAACACGCGAGAGATCTTGGAGTCATTGTGTATGCTTCATTGAAAACATCCACTCCATGTGCAGCAGCAGTCAAAAAAGCTAACAATGTTAGGAATCACTAAAAAAAGGGATCGAGAATAATGAGGAGAAATCTTATTGCTGCTATATAAATCTATGATACGCCCATATCTTGAATAGTACAGATGTGGTCACCTCATCTCAAAAAAGACATATTGGCACTGGAAAAGGTTCAGAAAAGGCAACAAAAATGATTAGGGGTTTGGAATGGGAGCCATATGAAACAAAATCAGAAAAGGAGAGATTAATCATATGAGGAGAGATTAATAAGAGTTTTCAGCTTGGGAAAGAAACGACAAAGATAGAGCTCTATAAAATCATGACTGGTGTGGAGAAAGTGAATAAAGACTTATTTACTGCTTTCCATAACGCAAGAGGGTGGTGGTGGGGGAGTAACCAAATGCAATTAGTGGCTTGCAGGTTTAAAACAAAAGGAAGTATTTCTTCATACAATGCACAGTCAACCTGTGGAATTCCCTCCCAGAGGACATTGTAAAGGCCAACACAATCACAGGGTTCAAAAAGGAGCTAGATACATTCATGGAGGTTAGGGTCATCAATGGCTACTAACCAAGATAGGTAGGAATGGTTTCCCTGGCCTCTGTTTGGCAGAAGCTGGGAATGAGCAATAAGGAAGGGATCACTTCATGATTCCCTGTTTTGTTCATTCCCTCTGGAGCACCTGGCATTGGCCATTGTCAGGCAGGGCACTGGGCTAGATGAACCTTTGGTCTGATCCAGTCCGGTGGGTATGCTGCTGGGGTGAGATCGATGTGGTAGGACCCTGAGGCTTGCAGCAGGAGGCCTGAAAGGGCCGGGTAAACCCCATCACAAGATGATTGCTACGTTACTGAAGATTCATATCCTTTTAAAAAGCCACCTGGTAATGCTGTTCTGCAGTGAGTTCAGACTTAAGGTGTATTACACCTGGGAAGCCATGATAAACATGATCTGTGTAAAAGGGGTTCTTCTTCCCGGGGGTGCTCCACTGTAGGTGCTGGGCTTGCCCCAGCACCGCAGTATGGAGATTTTCATAGTGGTAGTCGGCCGGACTGCACATGCGCAGAGGGTGTCTCGTGGCATTCGCGCTCTTTCGCATTGCGTGGTCCAGTTCCAGCCGGTTCCTCTTAACCGCTTCAGGCTGCAGACGGAATGAGCTGAGCTCCTCAGATTGCCTCATTCGTGAGAGAAATCAAAGTTGTTAACTGTTTAATAGTTCTTTCGTTATATAGTCTTTTCTCATTATCGTTCTCCTGTTCATAAGTTTTAAAAAATAGAGAAAAAGAATTTAATTAACAGTTACTTAGCTTCAGGTTGTTATAGTTGGCTGTTAACTCCCCAGTTGTATATAGTTCACACTCTCTCTCTATTTACAAAAAAAAAAAAAAGTTATCAAAATGCCAGGATTGCCAGGTTTTAAAAAATGCGAGGCCTGCCTCGAGGCCATGCCCACCTCAGACGGCCATTCAGCCTGCATACGTTGCCTGGGTGAGGGTCACGTTCCACAAAAGTGCCCTCACTGCTCTAAGCTTACAGCTAGAGCTCGGTGAGATAGGGATTTACTCCGCACTGAGATCAACCATCTACTAGCTATTGGTGCGGTGGAAAAGGTACCAGACCAGTTCACAGGGAAAGGGTTTTATTCCTGTTATTTCCTGGTGCAGAAGAAAACCGGAGGGTGGAGACCGATATTGGAGCTCAGGCAACTGAACAAATATCTCTGAAAACGTTTCAAGGTGGTAACCCTAGAACAGAACAATTGGTTTGCTGCTTTCGACCTATGTGGGGAAAATCAAATAACTCCAATTGTGTCAAAGGGGGGACTGTGCGGAAATCAAAACTCTCTAAAAGAAAACTGCTGTAAGGGTTAAAAAGTTTTCCAGGCCTCTCTCCCTGTAACA